CAGTATTTGCCATTGGTCACAGGAGGAACTGTGATCACAAGGATGTCCATTGGTGATTCCCCTTGGGCTGGGATTGCTGCCTTATGCTGACCCCTCCCAGCCTGAGGTCTAGACTAAACCTGGCTCACCTGCAGGATCTGGCTTTCCTGGTCCTCAGCATGCTCATGCCCTTGCTCGTGAAGACAGCTCTGGTCTGGGCACTGGGCACGGCCTGGAATCCTTGCTGACTTGATTTCTCAGGGGTCCGTCTGCCTTTGATCTAGTTGAGTTGAACCTACTGAAATGCCACTTTCATCCTCTGGAAAAGCCTGTCCTTTCTGTGGTAGGAATGAGGTCATTCACCCGGGTTCCTGCAAACTGTCTGTCCTTGGTGGGGTGGCTTCTCCGTTGGGTTAGTGAACTCCAATCCTGTAGCTCCTCAGTGCTCTGCAGATTTCAGACTCCTCAGGTTCTCCCCTCTTCATTGGAGGCTAAATTCTCATCCTGGATCTTAGGTCTTGTTTTAGGTCATTTGGGCTGCTATAACAAAATACCATAAACTGGTATTGATTGGGCAGCTCAAATTAGCTTACAAATAGCTGAGATTTATTTCTCATAATTTTGGAGGCTAGGAAATCTGAGCTCAAGATGCTTGTAGAAACCAGGTGTGGTTGGCTGAGCCTGTGAGTTCAAGACCAGCCTAAGCAACAAGACCCCATTTCAAATAAAGGAAAGATGCTTGCAGGTTTGGTGTCTGGTGAAGGCTTACTTTGGTTCATAGATCATGCCTTCTAGCTGTGTCCTCACTTGCAGAAAAGGGCACATGTGCTCCCCTGAGCCCATTTTATAAAGGCACTAATCCCCTTTGTGAACATTGTCACCTCACAACCTAATCACCTTCCGTATGAGTCCCACAGCGTCCTTATGACTTGTGCAGCCCAGGTGCCTTCTCAGAGGATGATGCCAGTGTCCAAAGTCAGGACCTGGAAGTTTGAGCTGAGTCACCCAGTGCCCTCCTGTTATATTTCACACCAGCCCAAGTGAACAAGGTCCAGTATGAACTCCATCACTTTTTTTCACTCACACTGGTGCACAGACGGTGGGATAGGAAAAGCGACCCATTTTCTGGGCCTTCTGTTTACCACCCCCTAAGGGCTTTTCCTTGAGAGGGATCAATTCCAGCATCTCCAGAGGCTGTGGCCCTAGGACCTCATAGAGAGAGTAAGAGATTAAGGCTCTCCTTGGAGATTCTGGGGTCAAACAGGCAGAACCTTCACTTTCAATGGTCCACTTTGCCACCCTTCTTGCCTCTGTATTAATGCTGATAAATGAGGACCTAGACTGCCAATCACTCTCCTTTCTCTAGGCAAATGGCAGACAATCATTATTAATATTCTGGCTTTATCTCTTGTCGGTGTTCCTTCACTCTTTATTTTTAGTGTGGATAAAATCCTTTTCTTTTTTGGGAAACAGATTAGTGGTCCTTAATTGTGCAGCAGTCAGTGGTTTTCTAATGTACACAGACACTCTCCTCTTGGAGTACAAGCTCCGTCAGTGGAATTCTGTTTCTTGGGGCCGCAGCTTCCTCTTTCCTACATGAGCAAGGTTTCCATCACCTCTACAGCACTCTCCAGATCAGCCCTATCGTGGGGGTTTAGTCCAAAAGCCTTGGCATGGAAGGCAGAGGAAAAGAAGTGTTGGGAGGAGACTTACTATCCTGTAGGGATTCTGCCCTCTGGCTAGGCTTTCTCTACAAAGGAGAGTTTAAAGTAGCAGCCTGAAAACAAAACAACAACAAGAAGCTACAACCTTTGAGGTTAAATGGAGAAGAAAATCGAGCTGTTAAGTGAATAAGCAGCTGAGAATCTGTTTGTGGTCATTAACCCTAAATTTGTAAGAAGTCTAAGGATGAAAAGGTGGGATGATGCACGGGCTAACTGAATGAGACCAACACAAGCAACAATTACTTAGAAATAATACTCTAAGTCTTAAGGAAGTTAACATTTAAACTCTTTTATTTGTTTTCAAAAAATATTTTTAATCACTCTAACTGGTTGAGCTTTCAAGAGCAGACAAAATGGTTGGCCAGAGCCTGACACATTGACAGATGACACAGCTTGGCCAAGCGACACTTCACAAGACCCAAAAACTAATCCTGAAGAGTCTTTATCTGACCTTAATAGTAAAAAGAAATTTTTGATTACCTATTCAGTCTAAAAGACTCAACAGTAAAATGTAACCAGAGAGTAAAATGGGGCTCTGTGGGGGCGGGGGGAGATTGTCCATTTCTCCTTAAAAACAAAAGACAACATACTCCTGGACCTTAGCCTGTTATTCATCAAAAGCATGATTTGTGCTCACTTCTGAGGCAATCAAAAGAACTTAAAAGAGGTTTTTATTAAAACCCGTGACTCTTCACTTGGACCTGGAGATGCCCAGTAAGTAACTACGTATAAAACAAGGCTTGAAATTCGTTTTGTCTTGCTTACCTTAAAACTTTAGATATGTAATCATGGAAATTGAAATGAGCACCATGTGTCATTTACATTGAGCTCAGTCTCTTGAAGATAAAGCACGAATGCATGTTACTCTAGTGCCTTAGAATCCCATGCTATGTCACAGAGTAACACAACAGTCCCAGAGGATTTTTAAGGGTGGGGGAAACTAGAACGAGGTGAACCCACAGGCCCAGCCACACTGTCTGGCCTGACACTACCGCTTGTCCTGGCCCCATTAGATCCTCTCTGGGTCTTCCCTTCCACCTCCATCCTTTCTTGATATTTTTCATATACTTTAGAATAACTCCCCTGCTGTTCCCTAAGTACCTCAACTATCAGCGGTCTTCCTTCACCCTTTAGAAATTGTGACTCTGACCCCAACAAACCTATAGCCTTGGAAATCTGAAGTTTTTGGGGAATATTGCTAGTAACCAGGTAATTACACTGTTAAGAATTCCCAGTGGGTTCACTTTTGATTCCCTGCAAAATCTGCCTTTGCCTCATAATAACTCACGGAATCCATTCCCTGTCCTCTAAAATATTCCACAAAAATTTTCATTTTATGAGTAAAGCCTCAATTGTCCATTGAAAACAAGAGCATGAGGGCCGGGGATTTAGCTCAGTGGTTCTGCCACTTGCCTCTTAAGTGCAGGGTCCCAAGTTCAATTCCAGGTACTAAAAAAAAAAACCCAGAAAACAAAAGCATGGGCAGAGAGTATGAGGCAGGGGATAAGGAACATTTTGAATTGTGGGCCTTCAAATATGCAGAAGTTTTTAAGACTGAAGGTGGAAGTGGGGATGGAAAGTTACTGGCCAGAAAATCATATGAGTCCATGGTTAGCAAGAGTCACAGGCAGCTGCCCATGTTCAGGCTACCTGCTATGGGTCTTGGGGTAGGCTAGCTGCTGATGTGGTGAGACTTGAAATTAAATTGTCTGCAGTTTGTATTCCAACCTTTCCTCTGGAAGTTACAATCCTTGAGAATGACTCTGGAGTTTCAAAATAGCTATATGAAGCTGGCATGGTGGTATATGCCTGTAATCCCAGCACTCTATGAAGCTGAGGCAGGAGGATTTTGAGTTCAAGTCCAGTCTGGGCAACTTAGTAAGTTAGTGATACTGTGTTTAAATGAAGGGCTTTTTTCTTGGTATGAAATGCATGCAGAAATTTTGGAATACTGATGGGAAGTATTTTCTAAGATGAAGATGATCTAAACCTGTGAAGACCTGTAAAGCTGTGGCTTGCCCTCCCATTTCTACACATATGCTATAGAAATCTGACATGTGTCCCCAAAGTGTAGGTAGCACTTACAAGCCAAGATGATCAGTGATAGCCCTACACTGAAGACCACTGTGATTGCTTGTATCTAGATGTCTCCCTAAAGCCGCATGCTTTTCAGGTGGCGCTTTTCAGTGGTGATTGGATCTAGGGTGTGTGAATATGTATAAAGGTGTGTGATAAATTAGTCCACTGATTGGTTTTGCATAGTTCTGAGTGGATAATGGGAAGGTCCACACTGTATGTTGGCACCAACCAATAGGCTTATACCCTGAATAGGATAAAAGGGAAAGGAAAATTTCTTCCTTTAATTTGTGGGTGTTGGGTATTATGTCCCAGCAGTGGAAAAGTAACCAAGACAGCCACCCTCATGCACATCAAGAAAAGAATGGTCAGATTAATTGATATTAATACAATGGAACTATATCATGGACAAGATGAAAAATACAGATAAATCCACAAGAACGTGGAATTTAAAAGCCAAACACTCAAGAGTTGAGGATGTTTGATTACATTTATATAAGTACAGAGAAGATGGAAGTGCTGTACATAGCTAGGTCTCCTACAGAGGTCCCTCTTGTGATGGAAGAGTGCAGCAAGGCATCTGTGAAACGGACCATATTCTCGGTTTTAGACATATGGGCTTCATGGCACAGTGGACGCAGTTGGTGAAATCTCATTGAATAGTGCACTCATGACCTGAGGCTAAAATTATTTTAAAAATCATATCAGCAGTTATTACATTGAAAGATGGTAAATAGTATACAGTAACCTTGTATTTTTCAAGGAGGATGGTGTAGGGAACAGGGAAAGGGGACATTACTAGAACCTCTGCAGTGAGTCCTAGTCTCCTGCAAGCCACAGCAGCACAAAGCGAATTAACTTATTATTCAGGAAAGGTAGAAAAAATGAGACTTGGAGATTCAGAAGCTGAGCTTTGGGCCTGATCAGTGCTGCTCTGGGCAGCAAAGAGGAAAGACCCTGAGCTTGCCACACCTTTATTCAGTGGATCAAGAGAAACAAATGTAACAAATGACTTGCAGAGATTTCAGTACATCCGGGTAAACAAGATGTAACAATCCAAGAACAACAAGGAACTGAGTAGATGAAGATTTTGTTCCTCTCAGGACGTCTTCAGCTGGTGTAATCTTGTCCTGGAGAATCACAGCATCACCAGATCATTGAGGTCTCAGTTGTGACCAGGCACCAAAATGGAATTATGTCTCCAAATGCCATAGCTGGCCTGTAGGCAGGAGAACTAGGCCAAATCAAACGATTTTTCCCTAAAATTATGTAGCATTGCTCCCGACAGGGTTTTAGATCATGTGGGGCACCTGGGCTTACTGATTATGGTAGCTCTTATGGGGTCCAGTTGAGTTGTCACGAGAGGGTTGTTATAAAAGAACAACTCTGGATCCTCTACCTTTCTTGATTTCTGTCTAACCTGTGATCTTTGTCTCTTGCCATAATATCTCCCATCATGTGATGGAGAGGGGACCCTCAAGAACTGACAAGATACAAGTGCGTGCTCTCAAACTCACCAACCATGAGCTAAGGCAAGCTATTTTCTCTGTAGAATATGAAGCCCCATGCTTCATATGAATGCAAAACAGGCAGATCAAAGATTTCTGCTTCATCTGTGTCTAATGCAGATTCTCCCTCTGGATCAGGAGGTCCCGTTTCCACATTCTTCCCTTCATTCTCTCCTCATTTCATCCTCTTCTGTCATCTGTGCTTTCGGTATGGACAGCATTCTTATTCTGGATATTTGTGGCACAGGGAGCAAATACACCCAGGTGCTCCTTCTGTCCTCACCAGAGTACCTAACACCTGGACACCATAAGGAGTCCATAAGAATAAGAATAGCTGCAGTCTGGGAATGAGGCAGTGAGGCAAAAAGGCAGGCAGGTTATTTTGGGCATGGTCAATGGGAAGAGATGCTTTGGCACTGAGTTATGAAGAAGGTGTTTTAAAAGAAAGTAGTTACCAGAACATCAGCAGACAACAACCATGATATGTTAAGTGAAGCCCCTACATGATCCATGTCCTTGTTCAACTTTTGAAAGAAAGTTTTCTACTTCATTCTAAGGACTTTTTTGATGGATCTTGAGGATATGGAGACTTTTGTTGCATCACTTTTTCTGTGGGTCTCCAAAAATTCTCGTCATGTTGGATATTGCTCTTGCTGTGCTGGAGTTTTGTTTCCATATATAGTAAGCAAATACACTTTCTGAGTTAAATATTGACATTTTCCCTATCATCCAAGACACTTTCTTCATCTGGACAACCATGAAAAACAGTAAAAGGCAAGATCTGCACATGCATCTGCCCATTAGATACAGGAAATACATAGAGAATTGTCTTTCAATGGAGTTTTCTACCCATTTCTTTATTGTATTCACATTTGTCAAAGGTTTCCATAACCAAGGGATTTAGTAAAATATTTTGATTAATCAATACATCTACTAGGACTAAATCCATTTAAATTGCCTCCAGAAGCATTTGATTCAGATAGCTATGGGCAGATAGCTGTGCACCAGAATTGAGCTCATCTGCTCTTCTCATGCCCATTATTCCCATGTTAAGTCTGGCATTCACCAAGCTGAAATACCCATTAGTTGACCTATGGAAAAATGCATGGCCTGTCCTTGCATTTCTGTGTTACCTCTTAAAAAGCAATGAGGAATAAACAACTGGAAGTGCTGCCAATACATATAATTTATATATTTCTGACAAGATTGGAAGGGATTTTGTTTCTTACCCCTACAAAGAAGATCCTGGATATAGAGGAATCTTGGCTCATGACAAAAAAGGGACTAATAGTCGGAAAACACAGAAATTAATGCAGATGTGGTCATCAACCAAAAACTGTGATTATAGAAAAGAGCTATGGAAAGGTGAAAGATGGAGGAGAGTGTGTAAAAAGATACAAAGGTGATCACCAGAAGAAGGATGCTTTGGGTGGCTCTGGCCTCAGGGCATTTGAGGGAAGCATTTGTGATATGAATGTGTTGGACCTGCCACTTGTGTCTGTACAGAATGAAAACCATAGAGCCACTGGTCCAGATCATGAGCACAGAAAAAAAAAATTCTGGGAATGATATTAATGCTGTATAGACTAAGTCCAGGACTGTCCCGTAGTCTACAATTTGACAGTGTCCCACATCTTTTTTCTTTGTGATGTTTCTGCCATACTGCTCTCCAGACATGTACAATCCATACAGAGGAAAAATTAAATTGACCACCATCTGTAGGGTCCAGCAAGAGATAATGAGGAAGCCTATGTACTTTTGAGCTTTTACTTTAAGATCTTTCCAACAAGAGTTCATGGGGCTTATTGTGATTCTCTGAAATACACTCAAGAGGCAGATGGTACCAATTGACATACCTCTACCTATTCTGCGGATATACAAGATAAAAGTGCAACCAATCTCATTGAAAAAATTTTTAAACCCAAAGGCTGCCATTGTGTGAGGTAGTCCTTTAGAAAGAATAATGAAAGAGTTGGCTATAAACATGTGCCTGAGAATCAAATCTGTGGACCTTAACCTGCTTTTTTTGTAGTAAAGTAAAAAATAATGACAAAGAAGAAAGGAATTTCCTAGGATTCCAATGGAAGTCTGTGACAAGAAGATCATTCCTATGGCCAAATCCATCGAAGCTCTTTTGTCATTTCCTCTAAAATGTCTGAAGTTGTGATGACAGTTATTCCTCTGAGAAACACGGCTCTTGTAGAGAGTTGACACCAAAAGTAACTATGGTTTTGTGCTCTTGTGGGATTGTGAAGATCTCAGGAAGGAAGAGATGAAGAGGATTCTCAGCATATTTGATGGGTAAGGCAGTATTAACCTGGAGGAGAAGTTAAGACGTGAGAGTGTGTGGAGCGAAAGCAAAAACATTTTCAGCAAATCAAGAACTTTTGCTTAGTCATCCTGAAAAAAAGAGGAAAAACTTCAATCGTTATCAACATCATATAATGGATCAATTCAGAACGGATTTTAAAATAAATATTTAAGAAAAATATAGAGGACTTCTAGGAAGATGTCAGAGTGCTGACCAGCAGCAAATCAGCCTCTGCAAGATTCGGAGTCCAGACACTGGAGGATAAGGACTTGGAAGTATAGCAACTTGGAAGAGAAGAAGAAGGGAGGTGGATTTCCGGCACCCAGGAAAAATCTGAAGGGAGAATTGGCACTCTTGGGAAGAGCGAAGTGACAGACCTCAGTGCAGAAGAGGGAGGTGGCAAACTACTTTCTGCTTGACTCCCAGCTGAGGCATGAGAAAGGAGCCTCAAACCTACAGAGGCTCAGTGATGGAAAGTGACTGCATCTTTCCCTATGGATGCAAACACCTTTTATTCCACTACATCCTTCCCATGGGCCTCTCGATAGGCATTGCCCTTTTGAAGTACTGCTTGTAGGATTTGGTCCTGTTCACACTTGCTGAGGGTCTCAGTAAACAAAAGCATTATATTTTCCCAGGTTAAATCAGGCAAATGAATGAGTCTGTCAAAAGCTCAAATATAAGGCTGGGGATTTAGTTCAGTGGCACCAAGCCTGCCTTGCAAGCACAAGGTCCTGAGTTCAATCCCCAGTACCAAAAAAGGAAAAAGAAAAAAAGCTCAAATACATCGATCAAGAAAAAAAAGTATATTGATGAGGGTCATTTGTAAAACTCCCTAGGTCTTTTTTATTTCTCCCAACTTAGCAAAAGTAAAATTTGGATGGATTATTTCTTCTCTCCCATTGTTGTACAAGGGGAGCAGCTTCTCTGGGGTTACACTGGGGTGGGAGGAGTTTGTCTCTGAACAGTGGGGCTGGGTCTTGGTTCTTTCTGAGGGTGCACGTTTCTTTGGGGGAAGAGGACCAGACATAACTGCTAAAAGAGCAGGATCTATTGAACAAGCAGTAGCCCATTTCAGGATGGTCACAGAGAATAGAGAAAACCTGCATGTAAGGAATTTCATTCCATTTTTCTTCTTGCTTACAAAGGAGAACTAATTGGAGGATAGTAATAAAATTTAAGGAGCCCCCTGGTGGCCATATTCTCCATTTCTCAAGGAGTAAATGATGTATACCTCCATAGAATAAAAACTGAGAGCCTTTTTCTTAAGAGTGTGGGGTTCTAGTTTTCTCTCATGTTTAAGTAGGCATTCTAAAGGTGATGGGGGAGGTATGATGGATTTTCCAGCCCCAACAATGTCAGAGAAAAAGGAAAATGGAAGCTTGTCAGGTTTTAGCCTTCTGTGTCCTAGGACCTTGACTTCAAGAATGTAACTGGGCTGGGACATGAGGTTGTTGGTTTGGGCAGTGAGGCCTGTGGAGAGTAACATCTGAAGCCCAGGGCTTGGGAAGTGAGGCCCCCTTTAATTAGGAGAGTGGCCTCTGATGCCTGAGATGTGGCATCCCCGGTCCCCTGGGCTCAGCCCTCCATGGCCTAGGGGTCCTGCCATGGGAAGTAGGGCGTAGGATTTGGCTACACTTAACTCAGTGTTGAAATCCAAGGCCACATAATATCAACAGTAGCTGATAAGCGAAAGCAGAGTAAGGCGGTTCCTATTGGTGCCATTTAAATAGTCTCCAAACTCATAATCCAAGGGGGAACCAGTTTATCTTGCTAGGGCTTTATGTTTTGTTTGTTTTTTTATTGGTGGTTCTCCTTGATGGCAGAAAGGGTGAATCAACATAGGAATATAATTTCTGGGTTGGCACCAAAAAAGCCTACGGGGTTCCTATGATACCAATTAAAATTCTTGTTTTTATTATGTTTATAAAAGTGGCAACCTTGAAGTGAGTAGCCTAATTTAGAAATGATCTATAGTTTTTCTTCTGTGAGATGTAAAGCAGCAAACGTTGGAAAGAAACCATAGCCTATGGGTTTTTTTGTGGGGGGTGGCAAAGAGAATGTCTGGAGATGCCCCAGATCTCCTAATTCCCCCTCCCAGAATCCATGGGCACTGACACTAACCAGCCTGAAGGATCTCCTTTTAGCATAGGTGTTCCAGTATTTAACTGGATCCACCACTGAGCCATGTAAGGGTAAAGCTCAAGTCTTCTCTGAGATGGTCAGAGACTGCACTCAATCCTCCTGGAAACTGAGTTCCTTATTGCGTAGAAGGGGCCCAGCCAGAAGATTGTCCCCATGCTAGGTGGGAGAGGAGTATCTCCCAAAAGTGAGCTGAGAATAGGATGGAGTGTCCTCCTGCATTCACTCCTGTGTAGGCTGGCTATACTGGCTGTGTCTGTGGGTCTTGGGTGGTCTTCCTTTTTTCCTTAAATTATTTTATTGGTGCATTTTAGGTATACAATACATTTACATTTCTCATTGGGAACTTGTACCTTTACATGATGTATCCTGGTTCTTATTTTTTCCCCATTCCAGGCCTCCCTTCACCCCCTCCATCCTTGCCTATTTACAAAGACTTTGTTTCCATTTTTTCCATTTCTCATGATTTTTCCTTTCCATTCTTTCCTTTCCCCTATCCCTCCCACTTCCCCTTCCCCTTTGCCCCTTTTCTTCCTATTTTACATTATCTATTATAACTTTTAGTGCTTATTTACACTTTCAGTTTCTCTACAGAAAGTATTTGGTATTTTCATGTGTGTCCTATTTATTTCACTTAAGAGTATCACCTCAATGTGCATCCATTTAGCTATAAATGTCTCTACTTTCTCATTTTTTATGGCTGA